TAGCAACGTGTTGGACCCGTTCGACCTTTTGTGCCTCGCGTCAGGTAATCGGAAAGTAGGCGGGCGAACCGTACTCTAGCATTGGTCTAATGATAGAAGAGAAGAGATGAGTGGCAACCTCTTCAGACCATGTGCCGAAACTACGTTTGAGCGCCCTAGGCATGCGCAGTTCGTTACGATATAGCCTGTTCGTGTTGTCCACGGACTTCAAATCGTAGCGTGAGAGTACACCTAGGTCTTTCACGGTGGGTGTGGGATATAGCGTTTGGCCGTCAAGGGTGTAGGTTCGGCCGTTAGCACCCTTCTCCAGGCTCACAAATACAGACTTGGCTGGGTTGACCGGGAGAAGAACTTCTGCAGACCATGTGGATAGGCGGTTGAGGTCTTGCTGAAGTAGGCCATAGTCATCGGGAGCGTCGATTTCTCTCCAAATCTTCATGTCGTCCGCAAACAAGGCACACGGCGACCGGAGAAGCTGCGGTAGATCGTTGACGTGGATCAGGAACAGAGTGGGCCCCAGCACAGTGCCTTGAGGCACACCACTTGAAGAGGGGTACCAGTCAGTTAGATGATCATCAACCTGTATCCTCCGTTTTCATCCAACAAGTCGCGGATCCACCGGTGCAATGAGCCACCGACACCACACATTCTTAGTTTGTGAAGGAGAACCTAATGACTGACCTTGTCGAACGCTTTATTGAAATCGATGAATAGCACGTCGACGGACTTCCCCTTGCTTATTGCCTTCAATCACTTATTCCTCGTCACAAACATGTTCGTAATGCATGAGCGACCTTGTATAAAACCGTGCTGTGCAGGCGACAGGACCTCGTTTGACTGTAGCAAGTGCAGCAATCCCTTCTTCACGATTTTCTCAGCAACATTTGTCAAAATAGGTGTCAGACAAATTGGCCTGTAATTGTCTACTTTGCTAGGGTCGCCGCCATTCGGAATAGGCTTCACCACCGAACATTTCCAGTCAACCGGCAACAAACCTTCGGATAGCGACCTGTTGAGAAGGTCAGTCATGACAAGAGAGGATGGTTGAAAGTGAGTGAAGCCCAACAGGTCCGGCAGGTTTGGTGCCGTCAAGGTTGGCGAGTAGTTGAGCTACCTCTTCAATGCCGCAATGCATGCTATCGAGTTCGGTAAAAGCGGTACACGTCGAACTCGGAACAGACACCTGGTTACTCGCAAATACAGAAGCGAAGTGCGTCGCCAACGCGGACGCACGCTAAGAATTTGGTTAGACAAGGTGAACATGATTCAATGAGTGCAGTGAAGGAAGAAACCACACACAGTATTGACACACAAAAACGCACACGCAAACACTGCGCAGTCGGCCGAGGCAACACGTAGGCAACCGGCTAAAGATGTATCAACCTCTCCCCTGTGATTCCAACTATCCAGCATGAAAATGATCGACAGCTGGGTGGTCAAGGATTGATCTGCACAGTGAAAGCTGAAGTCATGGACGCGATGGCGACAAACGCTGATCCAGAGAGATGAAAACTCATTGCAAAGTAGCCTACAATCAATGCGGAAGAATGAAGAGTCCGAGTCAGTGGTCTAGTTGAATCGATAAAATCATCATCATCATACACGTTAGCTAGAGGTGGAGAACACCTCAGCTACTGTGCCTCAATACACAAAAAAGGAGGGAAAAAAGAATTAACTGGGGCAAGCTGGCTGAGATACCGGTAACGGATGGACATCGTTCCGACAAGCTATCAGCCGGCTGCTACGCACCAAAAATATTACTATGCAAAATTATATAAGGCTAAGTAATGAGATCGTGGTTGGAGGGAGAGGCTAAGAGGGATGGGGTGGGACAAAGAAACTCACAGCACGAACGCCACTGAGGTCGACTCCTAGTCATATTAGCAAGTGTGTCCAACCAAACATGTTCATCGTCTTTCGGACCCCAACCAGGGAGCCGAGACGCTCCAACCGAGGCCAGCTCAAAAGTGAGGGCCTTCATTCTTTTGGACCAAGTTATCGCTTGGCCACCCCTCCTCTTCTTCCAACCACACCCCCGGCGCGCAAACAACACACGTCGCGGAAGTCGGTGGGCTGGCATGCGTAACACGTGACCGAGCCATCGGAGCCTGGTGCGTGCAATAACGGTGCTGAGCGGTTCAGTTCCTTTTCCTGTGCCATAAACAAGGCGTCGGAAACGCTCGTTGCTCACGCGGTGTTCCCACCAGATGTGAGCTAAATTACGGAGGCACCGGTGATCGAACGTAACTAGCCTCTTCAGGTCCACTGCTTTAAGCGGCCAGATTTCGCAACCGTACAATAGGGTCGAACGTACTGCTGCATTGAACACTCTACACTTCAGGGCAACAGTGATGTCGCGCCGACGCCATAAGTGCCGAAGGTTAGCAAAAGCGCCCCGAGCTTTTGCTATACGGTTCGTGATCTCATCTTCAATCCCATGGGCGCTGATACAACTTCCCAGGTAGTTGAATTTTTGAATGACTTCTAGCTGATCCCCACCAACGGTCCAGAACAATCTTGGAGGAACGCTTTGCACTTCGAGGGTGCGCAGCAAAGCCCGAAGTGACGGACAGCTAGTGCTAATCTGTCCAGTGCCGCTTGGCACATTTGTGAGCTGTCACAGATTAGGGCAATATCATCAGCATACTCCAAGTCAAGAAGTCGTTCGCCTGGGAGCAGATCTACACCTTCTAACTCGTGTCCTGTAAACGCGATTTCCATGACTTCGTCAACAGCGAAGTTGATGAAGAGGAAAGGTGAAAGCGGGCATCGTTGTCTCACGCCGCTGGAGATATTAAAAGGCGACGACAACTCGCCGTAAGCCCTCACTCTGCCCGAGCTACGAGCATATAATGGTCGGATAATATTCACATATTTCGCAGGTACATCTTTCCTGAGTAGACAGTCCCAAAGTGCATGTCTATCCACCGAATCGAATGCACCTTTGATATCGAGGAACACGACGATGGTGGGCCTCCAATATATGTGACGGTGCTCCAACAACTGACGCAAGGTGAAGATGTGGTCAATGCAGCCACGACCTCGACGAAATCTAGCTTGCTCTTCACGAATCTGGTTTTCACGAGTGCCAGTCAGTCTGTGAAGGATGACAGAGGCAAGCAATTTGGAGGCAATGGAGATCAGACTGATTGCTCTATGGCTGCCGCATTCCGATCGTGAGCCTCCTTTGAAAATTGGGACTATGATAGAGCGGCTCCAATCGGTTGGGACAGTTTCCTGCTCCCACAGTTTGACTAGTAACTTGTGTAAATCATCCATAAGAGCAGGTCCCCGAATTTGAAGAGGGCTGGAGGAAGATCATCTGGTGCCGCGGCTTTATTTAAATTCAACAGTCCGATCTCACGTTCGACTTCTGAGCGAGAGGGTGGATCCAAACGGACAGCCCAGCGAGTGGGGCGATCAGTAGCCGGTGAGAAATCTAACCATTAAGACCGATTAAATTGCCTTTCAAAGTGCTCAGCCCAACGCTCCAAGCGTTTTGCTAAGCTGTGGAGAGGCTGTCCACTCTCGTCACGTAGTTTCACTAACACCAGGTCTCCTGCTGCCCGTTTCCCGTATCAAACGGAATAACTTACGATGGTTACCAAGGGCAGCGGCCATCTCCATCTCTGTTGCACGATTAGACCACCAGGCCGCAAGGCAGCGGGTTTGGCATTGGGCTACAAGGAGTTCGTTTTAAGGAATAAGGAGCTACCGTCATTCCAAACCCCAACCTGGAGGACCAGGAGGCAGAGTTTGTCTGGCCTCTAACCATTGACCAATCTGGTATGAGTGGCTCTGAAGATGCAAAAAATGCACCATCCAGTATAGCTCAATGGATCACAGAGGCACACAAACCATCGCACCATGGTAAGGTCCAGCCTCATTGCGATGGTAATCGATATAAGGTGTCGACAGAATGCCGCAGGAACTATTGGACACATCATATCATTGGATGCGAAGGTAGTGGTAGTCCTGTGTTAGGGAAAAAGAGAAGAGAGGTGAGAAGACGGAGAGGAAAGTTCAATGAAGACGGGTTCCCGTAAATAGACACCCTATCGATCAGTGTTGCCTGGCTTAAGGCTGACGTAAGCAGATTAGAAAAGAAGGTTTGCGCTTAGCCGTTCTACGGTAATCGCGATTGGATTATAACCCGCGTGTTTAAGGAAGAAACCAATTGACCCCGAGCAAAGCGTTGGGGTGGTGAGACTTGGTCCATCTGATCTCCAACCTCTGACCAGTCCAGTAGGAGTTGCGCTGAAGATAACTGTAGAGTAGCACTCTTGGTGGTGCAGCAGTTCGGACAGAGAAGAAAATTATCCGCTTCATCAACGGTGAATTCCATTGAGATTATATCCGATTGGGTCAAGATGAGCGCCGTTCATAAATGTGATCCATGGAGCAAAAATGAGATTGAATTCGATGGTTGAGCCAGAAAAGTTAATAAACAAAGGGGCCGCACGAAGAAGAAAGGGTTCTGCGAGGATCGCACTCTACACTAAATACTGATCTTAACAAGAATTTTAAGATCGCGACACGTGAACAAAACAAATCAGCATAAGTCCTGTATATTATAGAGTGAATAGAGACAATTCAGTTTCATAAATCTATATAATTGATTGGAGAGTCAGTCTAAGGTACTCGTTGTGTGATTTGATTGCGACGCGCAACCTCAGTGTAGACCGCAATTCGCACTGAACTGAAGCATGGACGCTGCGAGCACTGGGACCGTAGCGGAACTAGATGGAAATAGGGTGTTACCCACCAGAAAAGGTTGCACACCATGAGAAGTTTCGACCTCAATTGTTCTCATCAGCTGGAGATAGCAGGCCTCGAACCTGGATTTGCCGAAATCTCTCCTCCTTTGGTTACCGGGTCAAGAAAGGCAACGCGTATCACAACGGTTAATAACCGATTGGAAGGTCAGCATGAGAAAGATGACCCAGTGCGGTCGAATAGAAGAATAAAAGCGCACTGCAATAAACGATCACACAACTCACTTGACTCCAGGAAGATACGATGGACACATAAGCCGGAATCTGCACAGACCTCCTTCCACTGCCCAGTATGACAGAAGGTTTATTCGAAACGTTCGACTCATGGTGTAAATGTATGCGACTGGGTAAACCACAGTCCGGTAGACCCGAATCTCTATTGGTCTGCAGTGTCCAAATTTGAACGGAAGAAGATGAACAAACAGCACATGGTTCGAGAAAGCTGTGAAGAAGGTAAAAGGATGGCACATGTACGTGATGGCATGTAGGTGACGCATAATGGGAGAGGAATAGTAGATCCCTGCTTATGGGGGCTAACAAAAGGATCAATAAGGTGAAATGGACGAAAATTTATCGCATCGCTCGGTAGACACCGCTGGGTTTCGCGCCTTAATACGCAAAGCAGCCACTGCATGGTCTTGGTTCACAGGAACAAGTGCAAAGATGGGTCGGAAGTAGATGTGCAGATAATGAACGAAAGATCCACAGTGCCCGGTTCGACAAGTCGTAGATATAGTTGTGTGGCAGGACATTTGGCAAGCTCCAGAAAGATGTCTACTACTACATGGTCCAAAGACGATGTTTGACTTAGTACCCAAAACCATGGCTTTTGGCGCAGATCAGCCAGGTTGAAACTGTGTGATTTGCGCATAGAAGCCTCAGCTGTTTCTACTCTGGTCCACGACCCTCAACAGATACGTCATCACATGTAGGCAAGACTATACAAACCATTCCAGCTACAGACTCGGAAAGCGAATGGACAATGGATGCACGATTCTAAGAAGCTTTGCAGCAGCCAAACATCCTGAAGTGATCAAAGTGTGTCGAAAAAGCACCCGCAGCCGTCTGCCCATCATACAATGTGAAAAGGTAGATATGAAAGGTGAATGTATCGATAATAACTAGTTCCCACACAAAACCATAAGTCGGGACCAGTGGCGTAAGGTGGCACGGATGCGCCTCCTGTAGCCACTAGTCAAGATAGCGACACTGGAATGACAGACATTCTACACATAAGCAAGAGTTATGGAGATGAAGATCGAACATGAATGCAGCTATGGTCTAACGTTTGAGTACAACGTAAAAATGCGCATCACCCCCACACGGTAACGCACATGTAGTAGGGCAATGATGAAACACTGGGAATATGCAACAAGTGATCCTAAAACATGTTGTCAGAAGCAGTGGCCGTTTCAAATATTTAGAATTATTACAAGTGTAGGAAAGATATCCACTGTGCATAGGCGTGTCACGAGGCAGCCCACGAATGTGCTGGGCGTAGAGGCGAAGGAACCAAGGGTGTTGATATTGCAGAAATCGCTGTCTAACGGCGAGCTGACAACACCGATCCAAACGCACGGTCTGGGACATAAAAATAAAGTCGGTGGGCAGAACAAATTGTTCTGAAGTAGTGGTAGAAAAGCAAATGGTAATGTATAACGCAATTAGATCCAGAAATAACTCCACGTGTTCAGCTCAAACAGTATGCGATTGTTTAATTGCGTAATCTGTGGCATTTGAAAAAGGTGTTCAGATATTTGTGTTGATGTTCGTAATTAAACAAGTTATACAATAAAGACTGAGGATATGGAAAATAAACGGTTACTTCAGCTTCTGTGCTAAATGCCATCAATAGTGGCAGTCTGTCTGGTCGTTGTGCCACCAAATGCGAATTGAGAACATAGTACTTACATTTATATAGTAGTAAAATGACATCGGAAATTATGCAATTCACATGGTCCTCGAGTTGTAACCGGAGAAACCATGCAACCCTGGAATCTGAACCAGGTAGTCCAACAAGCGATCGTGGACAAGCGTACAGCAACATAATAATAATAATAATATGTATAGTACTTGTATGCCAGGTCAAGTCAGTCAAGCCATGAAAATGTTTTATGCACCCAGAACGGGTGAATATACTGTAACGCGCTATAGGCGACGCAGTATGGTAAAATTCATTTCAAAATATGTGGATTGATAAACGAGAAAAGCACAGTACCATCATAGCACAAGTCGGTTGGTTAAACCTTGGACAACGTGTTACCGTTCGGGCGTTTCATTTCTTTATCCATCTCAAGCGTTAAGTTTTGGGATGCCTTATCCTAAAAGAAATGAAGTTTGATTATTGGTTGAGTGACGGCACAGTTTGATATCCAACACTACAGGCACCTTGACACCAACAGCGATGGTGTCAGTGGATTTTAAAGTATCTAGCTATCACAAATGGGGCGCTACACTGCAATCATATTGTCAATAACCTACTGGAAGCATACTATTGCAAAGGCAACATGGATGGTCGAAAGTTGGCCAAAGATCCGGGACACATTCACCTCATTCAATACATACCGAATATCAGCCCGTCCATAGATAAGCAGACAGTATAACCAACATCAAATTTGTCCTGTCATAAATTCATGTATTAGCCGACCACTAAAATATCAACAAAACAGAAACGAAATTGTTTTTCTATGATTGTGAAGTCATCACTATCTGCTATCACGTGAGTGTGTTCAAGTGATCTCTGCTCTACTTTTGGTCAGTAGTGGTAACCGTAGCGTTATAATCGTGATTAATGGGTCGCAGGGCAGCCAGAACAGACTTTCACTGCACCGGACAATGTACTGACCAACTGTTAGGTCACGTGAAACAGACAAGACGGCCGACAATATAAAGGTAAGGTGAGAGGGTGTCAGACAGGCGCCTCGCACAGATGGCGGCATCATGCATATGTACCACAGTAGAGTAGTGGATGAGAGTGAAGTTCACGGTCAGGGGTGTGGGACGACGTAGCACTTTTAAGGCAACGGATGGCCTGGCATAACATGATGTTTAAGGGCTTTTGGTTAGCTACCGCCATCCGTCACGAAAGTCAAATGTGCGATCTACCGAGCACTTTCGACACAAAATAACGTGTCCAGTTATGGGCACTTCAAATCCCCGTATGGAATACCGTCCGTCACTAGCGGTCTGTGCTAAGAGCAGCGGTGTGCAGTGGAATCCTGGGTATATTTTGCAGATGACTTAGTGCAAATTCCGTATAGGGTTTTTATAAGCCGACCCCCCTTCTACAGAGATGAAAAATTGTCCAAAAACCATCCGCTGATATTCTCTAATATATGGTAATCATAATAAATTCGCTCGAGGATACAGTAGCTGGCGCCCGTCATCAAAAGGAACAATCTACAGGCGGGTTGAACTCGAAATAGAACTGAAAGAAAAACGGACCGAATATCAGCTAGGACTGCTTTATTTTGATCGCTCCCAAGAATTAGAGTGTACAGTACGTCACAACCTGTTGCCACCCAGGGTGGATAGAAAGAAGGCTGAAGTTTCCTAAATCTTAGGCATGATAACGCACACAAAATGACACTCATGAGAAAGGCGGCGAACGATTACGAGCCGGCGGAACGTGTACAATTGTGAAAATACGTAGGAATAGTAGCTACAACATTCATTGTCCCGCAACGGGCTTGCGCCACTCAAACGGGAAAGCTTTCAAAGCTGGTCTCTTCGGTGAAGAGCTATTCATTCACAACGCAGTGTTACTATAGAGTAATGCAATGCCCGCGAATAAATGAAAACTCCAAAAAGATGAACACATGCTGTAAAGTGTCGCTACTGATGGCAATCCACTCAAAGCTACGGAAGGAAAGTGTCCAACAACCAAGAGGGTATTAAGTTCCTCAGTCAAGCTGAGGTAAAGAAAGATACATTCCTCTCACAGTGATGACTTGGCTGACTGAACAGTCTGGGACTAATTGGTTTCAGGTATGAGTACATGCGATATCTGCCAAGACTATCCGTCTTGTAGTATACATCATCGAAATTTGAATAGCCTTGACTAAACTCGTCACAGCTAGACGACGACGTTGCCGAGTTACTGCATCTGGAAAATCGATGCACGACTATTTAGTCCAGTTGGTACGCGGGCCGCTGATCAACGGTTGAATCGCCGCAGGTTTAAATCCAAGGAATTCGCCGAGGACGAGCCCCCATAGGACGAGATGGCTGTCCAGCACCCTACAGGAAAGCGATCACTGCATGTCTGACTCGGACTACTGGGTTACCTGGAAGCCATCCTTGATCAGTGGCAACATGCAATATACATTAAGTGTGTTTAAAACATTTTCAACTCGTTCCAATCGATATAGTATCCAGAGTAGAGGAAATATTGGCATTATCTGTTTCCGACAACCCTACAGAGCGATCGTAGCCTACTTCAGAATCACGCAATGTAAGGCGCGCTTAAACCAAATGTCCAATGGGTATATTCATCTGATCCGCTCTCTAAGGTAGTTGAATGGTGTAACGTATGTTTTCCAATCCAAGTATTCGACCAAAAAAGCTATGATCAAACGAGACAATAATCAGAAGAAATTTGAGCATGAGAAATAACATAAATATGTGGATTTGCATTTTTCATTATGACGAACGGTTAAAACAGACCTCTTGTATGCAGTCTATTATCGAACTGCTTTCTGAAAAGCCGAAATGATATATCGCCTATGGATGGAAACACAGATCAGACGGGAGTTTGAAAGATATCGGAAATATATTTTCACTTAATGTTTAAGTGGATATGTGGTCGTCGTAGAGATGAATGAGGCATCCATCAATAGATACGCTGCAATCTCTGCTTCTCTCTGTTACGTAAATGATTTCATCTAACCCACAAGTGTAGCAAGCAGCGTCCACGAGATATACGATTCCCATCTAAACCTGGCAGATCAGTACTCGTATAGAATGCTTTCGGAATTTCTTTTCCGTACGAAATTTCCAAGCATAAAATGCTTTCCCAAAATCTATCATGCACATAAACGTTGGCAGAATTCAAAACGCGATTTGAATGTGCACTCATTCCGCTGTACCATCTCACGAATTTCTGTTAGAGATTTCATTTACGGCCAGTTCCTATGATACGCTCCAATGTTTTCATCTTTTGTACATGTTCAGGAGGTGCCATCACTTGTACAAACGTCGCATCCGTCTTCATTACTTATGAACTTACAGTGCACTTACAATTAATGATATGTATGCCGCAGTGAGCCCAGCGGTGTGACAATTTTTCCATATTTTGCCATGTCTACCATGACCATCCCAGGGACCTATTAAGCTTTAGCATTTTTACCCCTCTCATCTTTCTGCAAACGCTAAATGCGCACGCAAAATCCCATGCGGAGTACGACATTCAGTACTAGCAACACAGGCTAAAATGAGGTCTGA